TATTTCCAACGATTTCTCTTGGCCCGTTTTACTAAGGAATTTTTTCTTCTAAAGTTATAACATGAATAGTTTCTGATATATAGAAACATTTTAACTTTAATTTGGTATAAAGACAAAAGTAGTCTTTTTATAATAAGTATAACTTTGTTTGTTACCTGCTTTTTTAAGCTCATTTTAACAGTAACTGCTTCAAAAAGCTTTAAAGTAATGCAAACTATTTTTAATAGGCTTTTTAATATCGTCCATACATCTTCTGTTTAAAGATTAATAGTATTGAGCAGGAGACCAGCTGTTGCAGTCAGGCTCCGATAATGTAACTAGTTCCTCAAACATATAGTATGTCGAGTTTTATATTGTTGCCACATCAATAATTAATTTTAAGGGGGTTTCTTCAAGTTTCATTTGATTTTGAAGAGAGTTTAGCATTCGCGTTAGAACTTCAGTGAAAAAATCAACAATTTTGTTGATTTTTTTTGCAAGTCTTTCATACGTTTTAATAAATTTCTAACAATTAAATTTATCGTATAGGCGAAACAAGGAATGTGATCAAATGAGATCAATCTAGTAGCTGCTACAACATTTACTGCGTTGTCTGTACTAATGGAGTATGTGTACTATTTTCAATGAGACATTCGCTCATTGAAAACAAAAAAACTCTCATTGAAAACTCATTGAAAACAAAAACAAAAGTAAGCGCTTTTAATTCCTAAACTATATTTTCTGCGGTATGTCGTTCGCTATAGTTGAAATCGTCACTGCCATGTAGCCTTTAATGTTGATAGATGGTCAGCTATCAGTACTTCTAATGCTTTTTCATGCCTCTGCAGTTTACAGAAGTTGATTAAGTTTTTGAAATTTTCGTCATAATTTTCAGGCATAAGAGACTGGCTGAAAGTAGCTCTGCTAGGTAATACAAATGATGGTCCTAATTCATTTATAAGTTTTCGAAATCTGATACAACGATTTTATACGATTAAAAATGGCTGTAAATTGGTTAGCATCATATCCACTACAAAATCATTGATTTTTTTTTATCGTTATAAAGGAATTTACTTTGAAATAGGTCGCTATAAAGTTGACTGTTTTTTAGTATGAACTGGTGGTCCTTCGTTTTCTGTTTTAATAGAAAGAAGTTCCATAATTTATGTTGATGAGTCTAAAACAAAAACTTACCACCAAATTACCTAAATTACCAACAAATATGTCCAATAACATAACGACCCAAAAACATATTTGGTATTTTCGCTTTTAAAACTTATATTACTATTTAAAGCTTATATTAAAGCAATCTGATATATAAAATATTTACCTTAACCATATAATATTAGCATTAGTTTTTTTCAATCCTAAAGTAAAATAAATAACTCTAATTTTTGAAAACTACAAATATTTCACAAAAATCTTTTAAATTAATCCATAAAGGAATGAATACAGATTGGTTTTAAAAGAATGTAGCAGAAGCTGGAGAATTTTCTATAGTGCTCGTAGAGAAATGTCATTATAATCTAATTTAATTTGGTCGAAGCGCTTTCTCCTCGAAGAGAGTGAAGGAAAATATTCAAGAAGGATATAAATAGGTGTCTTTGTCGTCCTTATTATGAGTGTAACAAAGTTCTTCGTTCGAAAATAAAATTATCATTTTGTTATGATGCAGATAAAAATTTACGATAAAAGGAATTCGCAAAATAATACAATCGAATAGACAGACAAAAAGGAGTTTTTTTATTAAATCCATTTTGTCTCAACTACATATTTTGTATTATTATAGCTAAAGTTCAATAATTTTTCAAGTAGAGATTTTTAAGTTATAGATTTAATAACATATAAAATAGTAAAAATATATTTTCTTAATTTCCCGTCTGCTAAAATTAAGTCACTTTTGAATTGCAAACAATTTATTAGAAATAATATTGTTTAAGTTTAATAAAATTTATTTCATGAACTTTTTTTCAAAAAGTCATATAAAGTCAGAAAATAAAATTTGGCAAACTTTAAAAAATCTAGTGCACAGGCTGGATATGTTCTAAAAAAAACAACGTAGTCTTGGGAATAGGTTGTCTTACGATACGATATCTTAAGGTTCTTTTACGATTTACATTACAAAAAAAAACGCGGCTTCAAAGTATTTTTTATAGTTGCCCTTGCGGGGGCAATACCTTATAGTCGCCCTAGTCGATTGCGATATTTTGACTTAATTATCTTCATTTCAGAAAATGCAGACTCGCACAAGTAAGTTAACCCAAAAAATACTGTCAGTTGAAGGGCGATTTGCCTTACATTCGGATATTTATCTTCAGATATAAAACGCCAGAAATTTGTATCAGATACTGTAGCTTTGAGATGTATATCTGATATAATCTGCACCAACTCATTTTCAACAGAACATGAGTTCATATTAAACTGACTTGCTATTTCAGTAGCTAATTCCTCAATGTTTTTACATGAAAAAGGATAACTCAAAAATGATGCTATATTTTTCAATTTACTGCAACCATAAAAACGCATTTCGAATTGTCCCAAAATATTTGATAATTCAGCCTCATACGTATCATAATTCAACTGAGGAATCCTTGCTTTCAAAGACTTAAAATGTTTCATATCCTTTCTTTTCAGTTGATCTATCATAAGTTGCAATTTACTTTTGAATGCGTTTACTGCGCTAATCATCTCAATAATAGTTTTTCCTTTACCTTGAAGCTCCAAGTTAACGGTGTTTAAGTGCATTGTGGTGTAAGTCAAAAATGCCAAATCATTTAGCCATTTTTCGTTTTTCAAAATCTGAGTGTCATCACCTCTTTCGTCTAGAAAAGCTGTTATTTTGGGCAATCATTCTTGAAAAATTTCTAGGAATTTTCCGCGACTCAACCACCTGACGTCCGTGTGAAGAACTAAATCAGTGTGTTCAGCTGACTGCATATCTTCCAACTGCAACTGAAAGAGCCGCCGTTGCAAGCTACGTGTACGGATGGAATTCACAATTTTTGTTGCAATGCCCATAATTTCCTCCGTGTTTAAAACTTTTGAATACAAAACTTGTTGATGTATAATGCAATCGAATGAAAAAAATGAAGGGAATTCTTCATTAGCTCGACACAATGCCACAAAACCGTTTTTGTTTCCAGTCATTGCTGGTGCTTCATCGGTTGTAATGCACATTAATTTATATATTGGTAGCTCGTAGTTTTTTACAAAATTGAAAACGTCATATATATCTTCGCCACGGGTCTTCCCATTCAGAGGAATGATTGTCAAAAATTCTTCTTTAGCCAACATGTCATTGAATACCATCCGAATAAAAATACACAGCTGGGCAGTGTCTGTCATATCGATGGATTCGTCGAACTGTAAAGAAAAGTATGTACATTCCATGATATCCTGTTTTAGTTTATCTGCGATGTCTTGACTCATGACTTCAATACGCCTTGTGACAGTCGGACGAGATAACTGAAGTTTTCTAATAGCAGACATGATTTCTGTTTTATTTTTTAAATCTCCAAATAAAGTCTCACCCGCTTCAATAAATGCTTCCTTCACCACCGATCCATCTTCAAATGGTTTCTTGTGTTTCGCCAAAATATGAGATATTTTAAATGACGCGATCGTAGCAGCTTTTGATTGTTTGGCTGGTCTGGTGAGCATGGATTGTTCTTTTTTCAAACAAGATATCAAATCACTTACTTTTCGTTTTCTTAATTCACTCTGTGGCGGAAAATCCTTTGCATATTTTTGATGAACCGTTTTATGATGCCTCTCTAAGTTACCACGCTTAATCCTTATTAAAATGATACGTTTTAGATTTCTTCACTGCACTCATTTTCCACTATTTAATAATAAACTTTGTATCGACGTAGGATCGCTATCAAGTTACAATTCAGAATAATTCTCGAATGTTTCCGTCAAACGCGCTGTCCGAAACTAGACTGTACTGTCTCTCGTCTAGAAACAACACGGCTTTTCTTTGACAAGTGCCGCGCGTTCTTTTGATAAAGCCACCTTTTGCCGCAAGCAGTGTTATTTTATTACGTAATACATTTTTGTAGTTGATAGAATATCATCCCAAATTTGATTAATAATTATAATAAATATTGAATTAATAAAATAATTAGTTAATATATGTAAATATGAAATATGCTGTGTGGACAGTATTTTGTTGTCCCCACTTCTTTGAATTGCAATGATGCTTAGTCAAGCATTCTATGTATCTGTATAGTTCAGTATTAATAAAAACGTTTAACTCTGCTGACAGTAGTTTAGTTACCTACCTACTTATTAAATTTTTTTTCTTCTCGAGATCTACCCAAAAAGCACTCGCGATCGACCTGTCGATCGCGATCGACCGTTTGAGCACCCCTGGAGTAGACAATAGGAAAATAAATTAATTAAAAGCTGTAAACTTATAAAGCAAGTCTATATATTTTCAAAATAAACGAAGTATTACCATTTTAGAATATCAAATAAAAAATATACCATACACGATAATCAGAATAGTGAAAAATCAAGCAACCTTCAAATAATACAATCAAAATTATCAATAAAGATTAAATAAATTTATATCCAAATCAAAGACCTAACTCTTATTTTATTGTTTCATTTACTTTTTTCTAGCGAATCAAAAATTTTATATTTACTTCAATTAAGAAAAACAAACAATTAAAAACAGTTAGCAGAGCAAATCAATGTCTAATAGGGCGTTTTATGATGCTGAATTTCCTATCACAGGGCAAGAATGAATGCCCTTTAAGAGGGAACAAATATTTAATTGTTTTGAATCGGCCATTGATAGTAAAAGTTAAGAGGACTCGAATCAAAGTATGATTTTTATCCTGACCTGGACAATTGTCAGAAAATAAATGAAGTTCAGTTACTAAATCTGGAACTTTTCTTCAATGTAGTCTACGAGAAGCTACATCATTTGCTCCTTTTTTGCTTGACCTTCATGATATAAGTAAAACAGCATTATCAGTTTTTAAATTATAAACACAAAAATTGTTCACAGTCAACTATGGAAGGTAGCAGATCTCTTGCACTGGCACTTTTGGTATATCTACATTTTGTATAAAATCAAAAACCAAACCCAAAATGTTAGCATTTTGTTTTGATAATTCTTTAGAATTCGCCACTAATGAATAAAATCCTTTAGCTAGACGTTTGCGTACCATTAATTCTGCTGCAGAAACCTTTTTTGCAATTTCATCAAGTCCAGGGTTTATTTTTTCCTCGTAAACGTTACATGTATCACTAGGCGGCCGGCCAAATCTAAAATTAAAGTTTTTTTAAGTACTTATGGTAAAAACTATACCTAATATTACTTTCAGGATACGTATCACGGAATAATTCATGCATTTTTTGAATTGATAAACATTCACTTAGGTACATAACATCTTTATAATGCCCTTCTTTTGCTGGAAAGGAACTAATATGATTATGTACCTTGGAAGTTTTACTTTCACATATTCTATTACCACTTCTGTTTTTACCTCATAAATCTTGTGGCTTTTTCCTTCTATGTAGCGTCTGGTTGACGAGCTTGAGGCTATTTTAATTTTGTTAAGTCAATCATTCTCTGCAAGTAAATGTCTTGTTCGTTATTAGTATTTATACTATACAACACACTAAAAATATTGCGTTTGCAACACACTAAAAAATTGTGTACAGCATTTTTTTGGACCCCTCAACACAAGAAGAATATATTTAGTTGGTTATAAGGGCCTAGATAGTAGTTAAGCTGTGGTTTAGAGGTTAGTGATCATTCTAAAATTGTACAAACACTTTCTGTGAAAAAACAACAAGCTCTGACAACTTTAATAACATTGAATATTACATTGTAAAGAATTTTACATTCAAGATGATCTGGTCCTTTTCGCTTGTTTTGGTTTCCCACCATAATCAATGTATTCTTGTCCAGAAATACGAGCACGATTTACAACGTTTCTTTTATATTGTTCTACATTAACAATACTTTTTTCCTTTTCTGTTTCAGGCATCGTGAATGACTGTCACTATCACTCATTCTTAAAAAAAAACCAAAATGTTTTTAAACCCAATATCGCCTCTAATTAACAATAATTAACCTCCTAATAGTTCCCAATACTATTCCACACTGAAGCATAACCTCAAACAACAATAATATCAGGTAAAGTAGACAAGATGCAGGTTTGCCAACTTGCAGAAAAGTACCTCAGTCACTGACTTCGGTCCTTTTCTGTAGTAAACGTAAAGTACGCCATACGATTTCTCTATTATAATAAAATAAATCGGGTCCCTTTCTACTACAAACGATGTGTCCACCATCATAGTGAATGAATACACTTTTAACACAAAATCACAAAAAAAATGGCTCAGGTTTCTTTCTGAAATAAGCTGTTCATATATAGAAGCAAATATATAATAGCGAACAACTAGAGGATGAAATACTCTACTCTAATTATTTAACACCATCAATAAATAATGATTGTTAATTAAACTCATAATCAAGTCGGGTAACCTTATGCAAAATTAATTATACCAATTATTCTAATATCCAGATATTACCTGTTGCATTACATGTACGTGTAATTGAAAGTCATAAATCGTAAATCAGATAAATATTTTATAAAAATATGTCTAATATATAAAATAAAATAAACATAAAACATAATATATATATATATATATATATATATATATAATATAATATATATATATATATATTATATATATATATATATATATATATATATATATATATATATATTATATATATATTAAACCTAGAGCTAAGCTTAATACTATTACAAAAATAATATTAAAGTCATCAGTTTTCCGGGTTGAACCGCGTCGGTATCCACTGGGCCGAGTTTTCGACATCCTCTCTGATGTCTTCTTCAGGGCTTCCGAGGTCTCAGTGTCCCGAGACCCCGGACACTATTACACTGACTTTTTCTTCTTCTTCAAGTGCCTTCTCAGCTACGGAGTTTGGCAATCATCATTGTTATTCGTATCTTTGAAGCTGTTGCTCTAAATAATTGGTTAGATGTGCACTGGAACCAGTCTCTTAAATTGCGCAGCCAAGATATACGTCTTCTCCCCACGCTTCGTTTGCCCTGAATCTTTCATTGGGTAATTAACTGGAGCAATCGGTACTTTTTTCCTCTCATTACACGACCAAGATATTCCAACTTTCTTCCCTTGATGGTGATCAACAGCTCCCGTTCTTTGTTCATGATTCGAAGAACTACACTATTTGTTATTTTGTCTGTCCAAGGTATTTTCAAAATTCTTCTATATATCCACTTTTCGAAGGCCTCTAGTTTATCGGTATTGCTATTGTTTAAAGTCCAAGTCTCTACTCCGTACAACAGTATCGAAAAGATGTAGCATCTAACCAATCTCATTTTCAGGTTTAAGTTAATGTCATGACTTCCCAGAATGTCCATCATATTAACAAAAGCAGCTCGAGCCTTTCCAATTCTAGTTTTTATTTCATCTGTAATGCCATTGTTGTTATTAACACTTGTTCCCAAATATTTATATTTGTATTACTATATTTTTAGTCACTTTACTACTGTGAAATTTTTATCGAGTCTATACAAGATCTATTATAGATTACGGCTGTTTGGTATATGGGTCAGCTAGCATAACTAATTTACGTAAACTTGATAGAATCCAATTGAAAGCTTTGAAAATTGTGTTAGGGTCAATGAAAAGCATATCAAATGAATCACACTGGTTCTAGCCTCTGAAAACCCACTTTTATTAAACAGATAATATCTGGCAAGCAAATACTTTATAATCCAATATAATGCTAAAATAATTAATCGATTAAATACAGAATTCTCCACCGATTGCAAAGTCATTTGTAACTTGCACTAAACTCAAGTTAATAAATTTTCCATATAATCCTATTTGGTAATCATAGGACATACCACACCTGACAAGTGTTCTATCAAACAACATTATGCCTAAATACCAAACTGAATTTTGTCATAATACTCTCAAGGAGATCTTAAGTGACTATTCAGATTCCATTGCAATTGATACAGATGAGTCAAAATTAGTGACATGTACAACCAGTGCTTAGTTTGTACCAAAAACGAAGACTAAAAAAGCATTTGCTTTAAATAATTCATCAAGCATCTTTTCCACTAAAGCATGTGCTATATATGAAGTCCTTGAATGGTATTGTGAAAATCAGTAGAACAAAATTGTCGTGTGCATTATTAGTATCAATTTAAAGATATACATAAGATAATACATTACAACAATTTAAAGTCTCAATTAACAGCAATGTATCCATATTAAAATTTTTTCAAAAGTTAAAATTATTTGCTTTATCATATGTTCAAATTGGTATGGGGTAATGGGCATTCAGACATATTGGGTAATAGTATTGTGGATTCAATAGTTAAAAATCCACTAAAGCACGCACATATATTGATTGAAAAATTTAACATATGTGATCATCTATGTAACAGCATATTAAATTTAAATGGAATAGACGTTAAATTCAGTTCGGTAAAACTACAGGCACCAATTTGTTTAAATTATAACCAACAGTAGCTGCGAACTAATTTTACAAAATTGTTACACTAGAATTGCTGTAAGTAGGAGTACAGTGTCGACCCTCCTAAGATTAAAAGTAGATCATGAATATTTTCCGAAGCATCTATATAAAATCGGAATTCTCCCAACAGACAGATGTGAGTGTGAAACTAGTATAGCCGATGTAAATCACATATTATTTAACTGTCCCTTATATATCAATACAAGTACGTGGCTGCTTCAAGAATTGCTGAAAGCAGGATTAAAGACGCCATTAAACGTACTATTAAATAAAGATAATACAAAAATGTTTAAATTGATTATGGTAGGTCTGCAAAAAATTAAATTAAAGGTTTGAATGAAAAATTTGATGGAATGAAAAAATATTTCCTTTGCATGTGTACCGGGTTTCTCATTATATTTTGACCCCCCACTTATTTCCCTTAATTTCGGGAATACAAAAAAAATTTTCAAATAAAAGTTGTATTATTTTATCTGTACCGACCAACAATGTTTTGTTCTATAATGGATTAATAATACTACAAAAGGGTAACCATAGGTGGCTATGGAACTGACATTTGAAAATGAAACAATTATTAATTTATTATAAACTGTCAGTCCTCGAAGCGAAATCGGTTATACTGCAGATGAAAAAGTAGATATATTCTTAATTTATGTAAAAAAATAATAAAAACCAGCAAGCGGCAAGAAGAGAATATAGGCTGATTTATCCAGATCGACAGACTCCTTCTGCAAATACATTTTTATATAATTATCGTCATGTCATAAATGGAAAAATGTTTAAATGGAAGAAACGTACTATCGTAGGAAATAATGATGAAGATCTACTTTGCTTTACTTTGAAGGTAAAAATTAAATACATAAATATTAAATTAAATCCATACTAACATTTTTATTTTAGAAAATTCCGAAACTAGTCTAAACAATGCTACTAATGCATTACAGCAAAGCCATGCGACGATACATAGAGTTTTAAAAAAGCACAACTATAAGCCGTACAAAATATTACCGGTACAAGAACTTACCGATGTTCATAAGAGTAAGCGTTTACAGTTCTGTCAAGACATGCTTACAAATTTGAACAATGATCCTAATTATTTTTATAACATTTTATGGACAGATGAATCCAATTTTTCAACTTCAGACATTTTTAATAGAAGAAATAGGTATTTGTGGGAACAGATAAATAATAGAAAAAGAATAATTAAGCAAATAAAAAAGTCAGGAAGAAAATCAATAAATGTGTAGTGCGGAATATTTTAAAACATGTGATGTCCTCTCGTAGGAGTCACTATCCGGGTAGCTTTTGGACAGTCAGAGACAGAGTTCAAAATAAAAATAAAACTTTATTGTCTTCCTTAAATTAAATTGACAAAAATCTTATGTACATATTTACAATTTAGTTTAGTCTTCTCAGTACCTGGCCTATTTATTCAAATTAAGTTTGACCTTGTCGTATGAAATTAGTGTTATCGGCAATCAAGTGTGTTTTCGGAATTTTACGTGAACGATGTGTCGATTTAATAACAGCGGACGATAGGTACAAAGGAAAGAAAGAAACTCAACACGTCCCTCAAGTGATTCGGGTTAACAGGACACTCCTCGACAGTCTCAACACGACTGCTTCGGAGTATGGGTAGTGGAGAGCTCAACACGCTCTCCGGATAACGGCGGTATGGAACGGAAACAACTTGTGAACTCAACACGTCCACAAG